GGGGGGGGGGGGGGGGTGTAAAGTGGTCAGTCACGGCAGATGTCAGTACAGCATAAAGGGAATGTGTCTGACAATGTGTTTGACATCTCAGGATAAAGAGAGAGGAGGGGAGACGCAGCTTTTAGCTGACTTCCCGCATAATGCACAACGAAGTGAAAAATTGCCAGGAACAAAGTGCCAAGTCAACCTGAAGCCAGGCTTTTATAAAAACATAGCTTTAAATTGAACGCTAGAACAATAATCCATTATTAGTAGAACATATATGTCAGTATAATTTACAGAATAAGAGAACATTACATCCCCTGTCTCCCTTTAATATACCTAGATCAATTAAGAAAGTGTGCAAATATAAAGCTTCACATTTTTCCCTTCTTCTGCTATCATCTGAGAGATTTACTAAGATTCTAAGAAACCTGAAAGACAAAACTTCTAGTTCCTGATGAAGTTGCTTCCAGAAACAGGGTTCTGTATAGAGTTAAAGGAGAATTATGGGGAGAGTGAAATTCACTCATCCGCATAGTTAGAGCTGACATGTGACACTGCAGTTGTCACACGTCGGCTCTATTGCTCAATAAGTAAGCGATCACAAACCGCTGATTGCTTAGTTCACATCTTCTCCCTGTCGCTGTCAGTCACTGCTCCCGCAGGGATTGCCTTCTCCCCTCTCCATTCCTCCGGCACTGACTGGAGGGACAGACTGGGGAGGGGGCGGGCACAGCTGGCTCTGGCTCTAGAGAGGCAGAGTCAGCTGTCAATCAGGCAACAAGGATCCCAACATCATTGTCGATTTCCTTCCTGGCTGCAGCACGGCTCTGCGATCTCAGAATATAGCAGGCAATAGCCCACTATATACTAAGGTTTGGGTCACAGGAGTGTATTAGTAAATGTCCACCTGTGACCTTAAAGAGAACTATGGACCAAAAAAGGTTTGGCCATAGTTCTTTTTTAAATCAAGGTCACTTTACACTAGTGGTGAAACCATCCAGCGCCTGAGCTACTTCAGTGTCCATCATGCAGCACTTCAATTGCACTCCTGTTGGAGGGCACTCATGCAAGAAGCACTAAGGTAAATGGAGAAGTGGGGCTAGGTCATAAGAAAATGTCAAAGTCTTGACAAATGCTGAGTCCTTTATAAGCCTGACCAGGGCAGCCATCAGGGGGGGTACGGCCGATACTCATGTAAGGGGCCCGGGCAGCCCGTCCGGGTCCCTTACATGACTATCGGCCGACGGTGAAGGGCGAGGAGGCGGAGGCCTGGCCCTAGCAGCGCAGGGCCCCAGCATTGCCGCTCAAGCGGCTTTGAGACAAGCTAGGGCCCCATCAGCGACACTGCTAGTCTGATGTCGGACTGGCCGGAAGTGACGTCACGTTGGTGATGTGACGTCACTTCTGGCCGTTCCGGCAGCAGACGAGGCCATGTGTGCAGTTAAGAGGAGATAGGAAGGAAGGAGGGAGGGAGGGATGCAGCCCTGACAAGCCCACCTGAGACCCCTGCAGAGCCCACCATAGACAGTCTCAGATGGGCTGTGCAGCATCTATGGTGGGCTCTGCAGGGTCACTCTCAGGTGGGTCCTGTGTCCAGCGCGTCACTAAGCCCTGCGTCCAGCGGCGTGGAGGGGGGCCCGGCCTAAAGCCGTGTAAGGGGCCCCAAAATTTCTGATGGCTGCCCTGAGCCTGACAGCTAGGTGTTGAAAAAGCCTGGCAGGCCTTTATTTGGTGTATACGTTAAGGCTTGATATAGATTGTCCCCAACTTATAAATGGCTGGAAATAATGAACACGAGGACCACGCACATCTAAAGGAAAGTAATGGCTGGCTTTTCTGATTCTGATTGGAGGTCAAGAGTATGCCATAAGGGGTATGACAGACAGGAGTAACCAAAGGCAGCAGATGATGCTAGGGCATGAATCAACCTTTGGTGGCTATATCCTTGATATCTCCTCCCTGAAAGACTTAAAGTGGAACTCCTGCCTTACCTTAGTCTTGTACAGTTGTACCGGCTCCTCACCTGTACTAAAATTGCTTACTCTGCTTTCACAGCACACTGTGAGCTTCTCACAATGTGCATTAGAAGCAGCAGCAAGTTAGAACCCAGCTCATTTCCTAGATGAAGGATGTGCAGCATCGCCTAGCCTTTCTTTCCCAGCTTTACTGTCCCTGGCCTGCCCTTTTCATTCATTTGATTTCAGTGCTTTCGATGACGGAGACCCGGCATCACATGTGGGCTTTACCTATTTAGGGAAATCTGTATGCAAATGCAGACTGTCTATAAACACCCACTGCTCCAGACTGACATCCACGCTTTAGGGCATTTTGATATAACTCTTACCAGAAGCCAGCCCACTGCTTGTACCATGGCTGAGGGCTCCTGAGAGGGGTACTGAGCCAGGGGGCTGTGATGTTTTTAGGAAGCTATGTACAGCACCCTGCTGGTCCCTACCACCAGTTGATGGTTTAATTAGCATGTTGATGAGGGAGGAAAGGGGGAAGGTAAGATATAAGACGACTAGACTTTAGCATAAAGCAGCTATATATAGCGCCATATAACCGAAAGAACAAGATTTGAAAATCAATTTGTACTCTGAAACAGTATAAAGCAAAAATTCCTTTCCTGAGTAGTTGTACACTGTACTTACAT